ACACACACTCACTAACAGACGCACACATAATAACACACTCCCTAACAGACACACTCACTAACAGAGACATACACACACACACTCACTAACAGAGACACACACACACACTCACTGACAGACACACACACTAACAGACACATGCACTCACTAAAAGACACACACACTAACACACTCAAAACATTTTTAAAATTCAATCCCACCAGCCTCCCTACCTTTGGGAATGCTTTGGTGGATTATCACTTTCCCTGGGGTCCAGTGGGGCTGCTGTGTGGCCGGAGAGTGACTGCAGTCGGCGAGGGAGCACTGATCCTCCTGTTCAGCTCCCTCGCGAGCCGCGTAGTGATGCCGGGGCCGGAATGACATCACTGCAGTGCGCGCAAGGGAGCTGAACAGGAGGATCAGTGCTCCTTTGCCGCCTGACGTGTTGTAAAATTGTTGTATTTTTCTTTACCTGGAGATAATTGAGTTTGTACAGTTCCTGACTCAATTATCTCTCAGGCACCGGGGAGGAGTTTACTGTGTGTATAAATTGTGGGTACCAGGCGGTCTGCCACACACATCATAAAAACCATTTGGGGCAAGATCAGGGTGCTGAAACAGTGCTGTATGGAAAGTCAGCCCTTAGTTGGCAGGCCTGTGTGATTGGCATACCGTCTGGTATGCATTCACCCCAGATTGACCTTCCAATTCTTTGGGCTGACCTTAAAAACCTTAAAATAAGAATAAAATCTGTAAGCTTTGAAGTTGCTGTTTAGTGGATGAGTGGGGGCACTGGATCTTGTGTATTGTATGAAGTGGCCCCAGCAGCACCCCATTTATGCATGTTTAGGTGAGTGCAGCCTTCTGGTTTGATATACCGTATATACTCGAGTATAAGTCGACTTTTTCAGCACATTTCTTGTGTGTGTGTGTGTGTGTGTGTGTGTGTGTGTGTGTGTGTGCGCAGTAACACAACATGTATAGTATGAGCCCCAACACAGACTGATCTATGCAAACATAGTCGGCATTCTTTTACAAAGTTTTTTTTTTTTTTATCCTGTAAGAAATGGATCCCAATACATCTAATACTTCTAATCTAATCCCGGACCAAAACAACAGTGCAGGCCATACAAAGCTGGTTTCAAACTGAAGGTTGTGTCAAGAGCAGAGGAAAGCAATAACAGTATTGCAAGTAGGGAATTTTGTGTTGACGAAAAACACGTGAGGGAGTGGCGGAAAATGAAAGCTGACTTGGAAAAGATTCCAAAGGCAAAAAAAGCTCGACATGGTTTAACGACTTCATATGGGGCTCTTGAGACTGTGTTGCATAAATGGCTTATGGAGTGTCGTCAAAATGGTTACTGCGTAACACGCATGGGAATTCGCTTACGTGCCTTTCAAATGGCTAAAGATGACAAATTAAAAGCACCATGCATTGAAAATGTTGTTGCGTCAGCAGGATGGCGTACCCGCTTCATTAATAGGTTTGCCCTATGTTTGCGGCAAAGAACAAAGATTTCCCAGAAGTTGCCAAAAGACCTTGATGAAAAAGTGATGTCATTCCATTCATTCATCATAAAACAAAGAAGGATCCATAACTATGACCAGGGAGATATTGGGAATATGGATGAAACACCTATTACCTTTGATCTTCCAAGCAACAGAACTGTGGCAAGTTTGGGAGACAAAACTATTTTACTCAGAACCACAGGAAATGTGAAAAAACATTTCAGTCATTCTGTCATGTTTGTCTAATAGAACTAAGCTACAGCCTGTTATTATTTTTAAAAGAAAGACCTTGCCTAAAAGGGTAAAACTCCCACCACGAATTAATGTGCGCGCACATGTTAAAGGCTGGATGGATGAAGACGGAACAAAAAAATGGCTGGAAGAAATTTGGAACAGACGACCAGGAGCAGTCTTAAAGAAAAACATCATTGCTAGTTTGGGATCACACATCTTATGACATAAAAACATCGGCAAACTCTTCTCAAGTTACTTTGGCTGTTATTCCAGGTGGGCTTACATCTGTATTGCAGCCCCTAGATGTGTGTTTAAATAAACCTTTCCAAGACTGTGTGCGAAAGATGTGGCATGAATGGATGTCATCTGGTCAAGCCTGACTGACAAAAGTTGGAAATCTGATGAAGCCCGACATAGAATTGATAGCAGAGTGGGTTCGCGATGCATTGGAAGAGATTCCAGAGGACATGGTGCAACGCACCTTCAAGAAATGTGGCATTAACAATGCTGTGGATGGCAGTGAAGACAGCGCTTTGTATGAGAACGACAGCAGTGATGGTGATGACTGTGAACTCAATGATGATGACAATGTATACTGATAACCTCACACCAGCTACAGCTGAAGCTCTGTTTGGACATACAGATTAATCCAGTTTTGAAGGATTTTTAACCCTTTTTTGTTTTAGCTTGGTTGAGCTAAGGTTTTTGTACTTTTAAAGTTATTGTTGATACCATATTGTTTTTGTTGACCCTCTTTTCCACTGACAGAGCTAGTTTACTGGTTTTCTTTGAACGAAATATTCAAAAACATTTAACCTACTGATGCCTCAATTAATGTAATTTTATTGGTATCTATTTTTCTTTTTGAAATTTACCAGTATCTGCTGCATTTCCCACCCTAGGCTTATACTCGAGTCAATAAGTTCTCCCAGTTTTTTGTGGTAAAACGAGGTGCCTCGGCTTATATTCGGGTCGGCTTGAGAGAGAGATATCTCTAGGCCAACTCCCTGGTTTTGCACCCCTCCCTGTCACAGGTGCCTCATTTCAGGGCCCTATTTAACCTTGTACTGCAGAGAGCCCCAGATGGAATTGTTTTCCCCAAGTAAGTGGGTTTATCTCATAACAGCAGACATTAGGCTGCTAGAGTATTTGCCAAAGATGGGGTACATTGACATTGTGGCAGGCTTATGCAATGTTTGATTATATACTGTAAGCAAACCCTTATTATTTTTGCCTTGATTAGGTGTTTTCAAAAAAAAAAAAAAAGGGGAAAAAACTAATAAAATATGTATGCTTCGAAGTTGCTGTTTAGTGGATGAGTGAGTGTGCTCGATCTTGTGTATTAGAGATTTATAGACCGGGCCAGCGCGCCCATAAGGCGGCACTGTGGGCGCAAGATTTCAGTGACCGGCAGGAGGGAAGCGCTCCCTCCTGCCAGGCCACCTTCTGGCCCCTCGTCGCAGCAGTGTTCTAATCAGAGGCAGCGAGTGAGCTCTAACCTCTCTACTCTGCTCCCTTGCCCGATGTTAGGTGATGCCGCAGGAGCCAGAAGATGACATCATTTTCCGGCTCCCGGCATCAGTAGACAGCCCGCGAAGGAGCAGAGAGCTTAGAGCTCCCTCACCGCATCTGACAGGAACTCTGCTGCCCGCCCCACTGGACCCCAGGGACAGATCCACGCCAGCCCTCCAGGTAGGGAGGCTGGGTGGACATTATTAATAATTTGTGTCTGTGAGTGTGTGTCAGATCTGTGAGTCTGTGTCTGTCAATCAGTGTGTGTCAGATCAGTGAGTCTGTGTCTGTCAATCAGTGTGTGTCTGTCAATGAATGAGTGTGTGTCAGATCAGTGAGTCTGTGTCTGTCAGTGACGTCTGTGTGTTTGTCATTGAGTGTGTGTGGCTGCTAGTGTGCATACACCACTGAGTGTAGCGGAGCGCGGTACAGGAGCTTCTGTTTCCTTTACCCGGCCAGACTGATAGGAGGTGCTCACTGAGAGAGCACTTCCTGTCAGTCCAGCCGGGTATAGAAAACTGAAGCTCCTGTACCGCGCTCCGCTACACTCAGTGGTGTATGCACACTAGCAGCCACAACCCTATAAGAGAGGTAGGAGGCACACCAGGAAGGGGAGTGTGACCACTAAGAGGGTGGGGGGTGCACCAAGGAACAGAGAGGAGAGGGGAGAGAAACGCCAAGGGACGGGGAAAAGAAGGGGGGGAGGGGAGAGGAACACTAATGGACGGGGTGGAGAGAGGGGCTGGTTAAGGGGCACATAGGTGAAGATGTTAATTTTAGGGGGGGGGGAATGCATCTTCGCCTATGTACCCAAAAATCCTTGCACCAGCCCTGTATATAGATGAAGTAGAGGGATGGCCAGCACTCACGGTTTTTCCAAAAGTTAAAAGTTGTAAATTTTAATGTCATTTCATATTAAAAAAGTACCGACGTTTCAGTCCACATTTGGGACTTTCATCAGACATGGGACCATCACATATTACTGAAAATAGACGTGAGAAAACGACACCTACCTCAGAGGTTAAGAATTAGGTAAACCACATATTTGACCTCATTGCTCATCCTGCCTGCTCACAGGAAAGCATGAACACAGACCCAATCAGCCAATTTGGTATTAGACTAGTGAGTGCTAACTCCATAAACCCCCCCCCCCCTGACTCCCCTCCCACTCCATGTTCCCTCCTTTTTTTCCTTTATGTACCCTTTATCCTCCTCCATATTTGTTAACGTTGAGGACTAGACTTCTCATGTTGCAGATAGTACAATCAACCTGGGTAGCAGAGGGTGTTAACAGACGCACGGAACACCGTTATCACTATAAGCAGGATCTGCTACTACTAGTGACAATGTATACTTCCAACGATATGTATCTGTATCTTGATGATGCTATTCAAAGCCTATTTGTGTTTATGTATCGACTCATTATAAACATGTCTTTACCAATGCTTTTATATTTTGAAACTAAATAAAAACAATTGAGGGGAAAATACAAGGGGGCATAAGTAAACGAAAACCAAAAAAAAAAAAGAGTTCCGCTTTAAAGTTTTCATAGTTTTTTATTTGAAAATTTAGTTATAATTTATAATAATGATTTCATACTTTACATCATCTTTTAATTCAAAAATAAAAACAGGTGGATATAATATAAGATGACAATCATAATTATTAAATAATATTAAATACATAAATGTGTTAATTTTTACATTAAAGGACGCTCCACAGTTTAATGAACAGACTCCGCATACATTTGTAACACTTTTTTTATCTTTTTTTTTTTTTTCCATCGATGGCACTCACTATGTTTTAACATCTACTGTGATATTTCTAAATAGAAACTTGTAAACGTAGTATAGCAGCTAACATTGTACTAACTTTTGGTTATTAAACAACCCTAATCTTAACGGGTCAATCAAACCCTGGTTAACAATTAATTAATATACATACGAAATGTCCTATGGGTCATACATATTAGCTATTGGTAGTTGAAAGTCTTCCCAGTTAATTTTATTTTTTGTTATTTTTATATTGAAAAATATACTTATAAAAAGCCGAGGGATATAACATAGCCCACTTGAAATGTATAAAATTTGGCACTTTAAATACTAGTGTCTGTATAAAATATTAAATTAGTATTCACAAGTAATACAAAGGTTTATAATTATTTAACATTAGTTAAACTGACTTGATAAAATTTGAAATGTTCAGGATTTAGACTTAAAATCCAGTATTTCAAAATATATACAATTAGGCAAAACTGAAGAAATTTTATCAACTCTGCTGTCTTAATGAATGCATTAAAAGTATTTCTCAGGTCACTATAATTTAATATTTAGCAAAATGCTAATTTGAAAATGCTGCAAAAATAATAAATTAAAATATATGAAGCCAAAATTTGTATATTTCACAAGAACTCAAACTGCTTAAAATACTTGATGATTCATTTAAATAGTGTTGAATCTTTTTTAAAAAGTCTTGGTAAAAAAGTTGGGAGCGTTGTTTTGAAAGTTCTGAAACTCATCTGTCCCGGCCACAAGCACAGTTGCTGGGAATGTTCTGGGGCGTTCAGGGTCCTGTATTATAAAGAAAATGTGATGTAATTAACTGCTTCATTTTCATAAATCATTGCATTTTGTATCACATTACATGAATAAATGATGGAAATATATATAGTAGGGTAATGGTAATAACGGAATACTTATTCACATATAATGCATTTAGTAAAGGGTTGTTGGTGGGATTATGCAAATTTCATTACACTGTGTATTAGTCCACTTCTGTGAAGACTACTATTTTAATTCTCACCTCAACAGGATAAGCAGCGGTGGGAACATAGCGAATCACAAATCCACACCTTCTTCGGTTTGACAAATTGGGTTCACTGGCATGAACTGTTAACCCATCATGCACCTGGAAATATGAAATCATATTGATTGTGTTAGAAAAAACTCAGATTCCAAAGCCCGTTATGCTAATTTACTTACTGGCGTGTAAGTTCTATTATATAAGTATTCTATGTAACATTCTATATGATATCCAGGCAATGCTTTGTTTATCTAAACATTAACCTTGCATTACTTTTGTGTACATTTTATGTAGTTTGTATTCGACAAACAGATCATGTACATTATTTGTTCAGGTTCTTATTGTGGATTTACTTACCGACATTTGTCCAGCTTTAAGAGGACATTCCACCGCGTCTTCCGCATTCACCAGGTGTTTCGGGATTTCTTGATTGGCTGTCAGCATGTTCCCTGGAGACTCTGCAATTCTGTGCTCTAGAACACCTTGTTTATGGCTCCCTATGGAAAGATACAATTTATCATCAAATACAAAATAATAGCAATTTGGAGTTCTTTTCTTTAAATGCTTGCATACTATTCAAATATTTTATTCCTTATCCATAACTCTGTTAAGGCATTTTATTGTGTATTCTAATTTTATTTAATACCATGACTTTCAAAATCTGCTGTTTTTTTGTTTTGTTTTTTACTGTATTGTCTAATACAACTATTAAATAGATGGATATATAGACAGACAGAATACAGAAATGAGGAAAGACAGAATAATACATGTATCACGTTTGATAGAATAAGTAAACACTGTACCTGGGATAATTTGAAGGACTCCGTTTTCTGCATCCACGTCATCAAATGCCAGCCACACTGAAGCCACTGGACCTCCTTCAAACCCCCAGTATCTGTAGACAGATCACAAATCAAGGTGTGCCATGCTATAAACCATGCTATAAATGGCTCCCTAATTTTAGTAAATTCATATGAATACTATCTGTCTTTTACTTACTTGATGTCCTGGTGCCAGGCCACGTAGGGCGCTATGTTTTCTTTATGGGGAACGTCAGAGGAAGGATATTTACAGATAAACCTGGAGTCCAGCAGAATTACATTAGGACCCAGGACAGCAGTGATCGCTTGCAGCAGGTTGGGATGGGAAGCCAAATTCATCACCCACTCATGCTCCATGTGGATGTTGTGCAGGTTGTACTGAGTGTACTCCTTGCCTGGAAAAGACATGGCAGCTTATTATATGTCTATACATGGATTATCAACAACAAAAATATATTTCACAATTAGTTGTTCGAAATTTAGCACCTTTTAATACACATTGTGAATTTTTTTATATTAAAATCCACCAGATTTGTAACTTCCAGGGTCATGTTGTGTATCTTTACATGTATAGCGGCCCAGTATTATTAGAACATTACTTGTACATCAGTTATTAAAGTCATAAGCAATAAAAGAAAAATTCCAAAAAGGCTGCTTTACTAGAATGCAGCCAATAGAAAAAGAACCCAGTCCAATCTCAAAGAAGTAGTATAAATAATACCAAAAATAATAAAACTTTATTAGGATAAAAAATTGACCAAAAGAGTCTAAGGTCTAGTACTAGGAGGGGTATATAACATATACAAAAGCCTGCCAGACTGCCAAAAGGAAAAAAGGCAGTGAACTAAGCTTGAATTGCATATACCTTAGTGAATAGCAGCATAGGTAACCTTAATAGGAGAGAGAGGCTGCATATATGGTATATAGTATTAGGCAGCCCAAAAGGAGGGGGGGGAAACCCCAATTGTAACATAAAGGGAAACAATAAAATACCAATACTCAAAATCAAAACCTCCCCCCACCTTAATACCTTCCCAAATCGAAAGGACAATCCTAAGGTAGAGACAACACTCTAAGCTAATACACTATCTCCTAAACAACACCTTCGTGGGTGTTCTAATCTATAATCTAAACCTAGACCATAGTCAAATGGATAATGTGCCCAGTGCTCGTTAGTGCAAAAACAAAAAACCCAATACTATATACCATACTAGACCTTAGACTCTTTTGGTCAATTTTTTATCCTAATAAAGTTTTATTATTTTTGGTATTATTTATACTACTTCTTTGAGATTGGACTGGGTTCTTTTTCTATTGGCTGCATTCTAGTAAAGCAGCCTTTTTGGAATTTTTCTTTTATTCATTATCTCTTGGGTTATCCCCTATTACCCAGTTTAGGTGACCATACCTACCCAGGAGAAGGGAGGGGGACAAGGGATTTTTTCTCTGTCCCTACCTTCCGGTACCCTGTGTATGTTCTTCTATTTTTTTGATTAAAGTCATAAGCATGTCACATTTTTATACCAAACATGTAATTTTTAAATTTTCATTTTTTTTCCTGTAAGTCCTTTATATTTTGTATTTCAAGATATTGGACTCTACATTTACATTCATTCTCTCTGTTTGATAAATGATATATTATTTACTATAACACAAGTAATGTAAGGGTGATGAGAATGCATTATACAGCATTTCAGGTGCAATAGGAGCTACAACTCCCATCATGCACAACAAAAAAATCAATGAGAACTTACCAAACGTTTGTTCCAGTTTTCCATACTCTTTGCTGGCCTGTTCCATTTCCTTCTCACCCAGTACATGGATCGCAGTCAGATAGCCATTGGCTTCATACAGTGCTTTCATCTGACTAGCAACAGCCTTCATTGTTCAGTTATATTTGTCAGCTGTACCAAAATTACAAGGATAGTGCAGGGATGGCGTGTACCTGCCTTGTGTTAATACCTGCCTTATATATACAAAGTGGGAAGCAAGATCAACCCTTTTTCTTTTTTACATTTGTCAGTCGTTTTATTTGTTTACTTAAGAGGCAGAATTACACGTTTGATTTCTGGCCAATTTCCTTCTTGCAACATGATGTCATGACAAACTTTCATATTGATGGAAATTCCAGTAGGATATTACATGATAAGGAACAGGAGAATTTCTTGGTACCATGAGCATATATTAACTAACTACACAATAATTCTGATATGGAGATTGAAAAAAGAATACTACACAGAAAGGGATCAATATGAAACCATGCAAAAAAGTAAATAAACATACAAACACACACAAACACATACACACTCACACATACAGAGGTAAAGTTGATATCATTCTGAAAAACACTTGTTAGAAGGTTTGTGTTCTTAGAAACAAATGTGCACCTGCAGACTTTAGTTTGGAAATAATATTATCACTAGGATAGAAATGTCCATCCTGGATATCTATTGAAGGCAAATCATTGTTATACACTCTGTCCTTTGCACCTGGCAGTCAACATAGAGAGAGCATACAGAGAACAGGAGACATGAAACAAAGGTTTCTTTGCCTTGTGTGAACTGGATTGTTATGTCGTTTTTATCAATTTTAAAACATAAATTTACAGAGCACTTTATTAAAAAGTTGAAGATAATCTATCATTATTTTCCAATGTTTTTAATCAATGGTATAAATTCCATAATTCCTGAACTATTCCACTCCAGTTGGAGCTAATTTGGGTCAGTTTTCATAGGTGTCATTTCACATCTTTTTACTCTCTATTGTGCTAAATAGCTGCAAATAATTTTCATTTGACTTTCTTATTTTAACTTCAGCCTATAGTAAATAACCAAATTTACAAATAGGGCTATGGCAGTTTCAAGAAAAAGTGAATGAACTTCTTTGGGAAGAAATTTCATTTACAACAGTAGAATTTTTTTTGAAACATTTAAATGAATGTACTCTTGTTTTTAAAAAACAAAACAAAAACCTAAATAAGTGCATAATTAAATATATACGAGTCTGATATATATTTCTGTAGTATTGTGTATTGTTTGAATTTTCTATAATAGCACAGACTATTTTCTTAATACTCCTAATGCCTGAGGAGTGGATAATGATTTTCTTAGCCTTGGAATTCACATTTAGAATTTCCTAGGTCTTTCCTATTAATAATGAAATCACTGTTATAAATAGAATCATTGCACATCATCTGATTGTTCTGGTTTTTCAAGTCTACGCGATTCCTGGGAACAATCCTGTGTTGAATACACACGCCTGTGACATAGAACATATAGTATGTCATTTAGGAAACATAAATAAGAATTCAAATATATCTATTGATTTATCTGCCTGTCCATCCATCCATCCATCCATCTATGCATCCATCTGTTTGTCCTTTTATCCATCAATTTCCCATTTTTGACAGTAAAGAAATTGCATGAGTTCAATCACACACACACAAACCACACACACCACACACACACGCACACACACATACACACAGATACACACACCTTAGATTGTTGATTCGGGGGCGGGGGCTGGGACTTGGCAGCGGGGGAAGCTATAGTGCCAGGAAAACAAGTTTGTTTTCTTGGCACTATAGTTTCCCTTTAATGACTAATGCCACTCTGTACTCAACTTATCTAAAACAAAGTGTATGACAAAACAAATATCTTTCACCAAATCTGTCTTTTTAGATTACAGAAATATAATTTAATGGCTTGGTGGGTGCTCTTCTTTACAGCTCTGTACTTAAGGGGTGTTTATATGGAAGCCAGTCAAGTAGAATCCCTGAATTTAAGAGGAAGATTAGATAGTTCAGGAAATTGAGAAAACTATATAATTATATTTATGAAATGTGTAATATATGCACAAAGGATGTGTAATAAGTGTGCCGGGTGCATGTTTGGTAGACATGTACAATTCGTTTCGGTAAAATTCGGATGAATTTCGTCAATTCGGACATTCAGATGCTTCCGAATGTTCGAATTGGCGAAATGCTGAATTGCCAAAGTGCCGATTTTCGGAAGTGCCGAGCCAAACCAAATGTCCTAAGTCCCGAATTGCCGAAGTTCCAAAGTGTCGAAGTGCTTTGGATTTCTGAAAAGTGGCAAACAGTAGAGGGAGGGAAAATTAAGGGAATGATGACAGGAATCTTACCCTACCCCTAAGCCCACTCCTAACCCTAGCCCTAATCCTTACCCCAACCTTCCTCTAACCCTACCCCTAAACTTACATCTAACCCTAGTAGGGGTAGGGTTAGGGGGTGGGTTGCGGTTAGGGGTAGCGTCAGGGTAGGCTTAGAGGTAGGGTTAGGCTAAGGCTTAGGGGTAGAGGTAGAGGTAGGGTTAGGGCTAGGAGTAGAGGTATGGGCAGAGTTAGGGGTAGGGTTAGGAAATTGCCAAAGTGTCAAATTCTTAATTGCCTAAGTCCCGAATTGCCGAATTCCTGATTTGCCAAAGTCGCGAATTTCGGAAGTGCCGAACCGAAGTTCCGAAGTCACGGATTTCGGAAGTCCGAACCGTACTGAAGTACGGAAGTGCCACATTGCTGAAGTCCCGAATTGCCAAAGTCGCGAATTTCGGAAGTACCGAACTGAACCAAACACACTCCCTAACAGACACACTCACTAACAGACACACACACTAACAGACACACACACACTCGCTAACAGACACACACATAGTAACACACTCCCTAACAGACACACTCACTGACAGACACATACAATCACTACCAGACACACACTCACACCAGACACACACACACACTCACTAACAGACACACACACACACACTCACTAACAGACGCACACATAATAACACACTCCCTAACAGACACACTCACTAACAGAGACATACACACACACACTCACTAACAGAGACACACACACACACTCACTAACAGACACACACACTAACAGACACACGCACTCACTAAAAGACACACACACTAACACACTCAAAACATTTTTAAAATTCAATCCCACCAGCCTCCCTACCTTTGGGAATGCTTTGGTGGATTATCACTTTCCCTGGGGTCCAGTGGGGCTGCTGTGTGGCCGGAGAGTGACTGCAGTCGGCGAGGGAGCACTGATCCTCCTGTTCAGCTCCCTCGCGAGCCGCGTAGTGATGCCGGGGCCGGAATGACATCACTGCAGTGCGCGCAAGGGAGCTGAACAGGAGGATCAGTGCTCCTTTGCCGCCTGACGTGTTGTAAAATTGTTGTATTTTTCTTTACCTGGAGATAATTGAGTTTGTACAGTTCCTGACTCAATTATCTCTCAGGCACCGGGGAGGAGTTTACTGTGTGTATAAATTGTGGGTACCAGGCGGTCTGCCACACACATCATAAAAACCATTTGGGGCAAGATCAGGGTGCTGAAACAGTGCTGTATGGAAAGTCAGCCCTTAGTTGGCAGGCCTGTGTGATTGGCATACCGTCTGGTATGCATTCACCCCAGATTGACCTTCCAATTCTTTGGGCTGACCTTAAAAACCTTAAAATAAGAATAAAATCTGTAAGCTTTGAAGTTGCTGTTTAGTGGATGAGTGGGTGCACTGGATCTTGTGTATTGTATGAAGTGGCCCCAGCAGCACCCCATTTATGCATGTTTAGGTGAGTGCAGCCTTCTGGTTTGATATACCGTATATACTCGAGTATAAGTCGACTTTTTCAGCACATTTCTTGTGTGTGTGTGTGTGTGTGTGTGTGTGTGTGTGTGTGTGTGCGCAGTAACACAACATGTATAGTATGAGCCCCAACACAGACTGATCTATGCAAACATAGTCGGCATTCTTTTACAAAGTTTTTTTTTTTTTTATCCTGTAAGAAATGGATCCCAATACATCTAATACTTCTAATCTAATCCCGGACCAAAACAACAGTGCAGGCCATACAAAGCTGGTTTCAAACTGAAGGTTGTGTCAAGAGCAGAGGAAAGCAATAACAGTATTGCAAGTAGGGAATTTTGTGTTGACGAAAAACACGTGAGGGAGTGGCGGAAAATGAAAGCTGACTTGGAAAAGATTCCAAAGGCAAAAAAAGCTCGACATGGTTTAACGACTTCATATGGGGCTCTTGAGACTGTGTTGCATAAATGGCTTATGGAGTGTCGTCAAAATGGTTACTGCGTAACACGCATGGGAATTCGCTTACGTGCCTTTCAAATGGCTAAAGATGACAAATTAAAAGCACCATGCATTGAAAATGTTGTTGCGTCAGCAGGATGGCGTACCCGCTTCATTAATAGGTTTGCCCTATGTTTGCGGCAAAGAACAAAGATTTCCCAGAAGTTGCCAAAAGACCTTGATGAAAAAGTGATGTCATTCCATTCATTCATCATAAAACAAAGAAGGATCCATAACTATGACCAGGGAGATATTGGGAATATGGATGAAACACCTATTACCTTTGATCTTCCAAGCAACAGAACTGTGGCAAGTTTGGGAGACAAAACTATTTTACTCAGAACCACAGGAAATGTGAAAAAACATTTCAGTCATTCTGTCATGTTTGTCTAATAGAACTAAGCTACAGCCTGTTATTATTTTTAAAAGAAAGACCTTGCCTAAAAGGGTAAAACTCCCACCACGAATTAATGTGCGCGCACATGTTAAAGGCTGGATGGATGAAGACGGAACAAAAAAATGGCTGGAAGAAATTTGGAACAGACGACCAGGAGCAGTCTTAAAGAAAAACATCATTGCTAGTTTGGGATCACACATCTTATGACATAAAAACATCGGCAAACTCTTCTCAAGTTACTTTGGCTGTTATTCCAGGTGGGCTTACATCTGTATTGCAGCCCCTAGATGTGTGTTTAAATAAACCTTTCCAAGACTGTGTGCGAAAGATGTGGCATGAATGGATGTCATCTGGTCAAGCCTGACTGACAAAAGTTGGAAATCTGATGAAGCCCGACATAGAATTGATAGCAGAGTGGGTTCGCGATGCATTGGAAGAGATTCCAGAGGACATGGTGCAACGCACCTTCAAGAAATGTGGCATTAACAATGCTGTGGATGGCAGTGAAGACAGCGCTTTGTATGAGAACGACAGCAGTGATGGTGATGACTGTGAACTCAATGATGATGACAATGTATACTGATAACCTCACACCAGCTACAGCTGAAGCTCTGTTTGGACATACAGATTAATCCAGTTTTGAAGGATTTTTAACCCTTTTTTGTTTTAGCTTGGTTGAGCTAAGGTTTTTGTACTTTTAAAGTTATTGTTGATACCATATTGTTTTTGTTGACCCTCTTTTCCACTGACAGAGCTAGTTTACTGGTTTTCTTTGAACGAAATATTCAAAAACATTTAACCTACTGATGCCTCAATTAATGTAATTTTATTGGTATCTATTTTTCTTTTTGAAATTTACCAGTATCTGCTGCATTTCCCACCCTAGGCTTATACTCGAGTCAATAAGTTCTCCCAGTTTTTTGTGGTAAAACGAGGTGCCTCGGCTTATATTCGGGTCGGCTTGAGAGAGAGATATCTCTAGGCCAACTCCCTGGTTTTGCACCCCTCCCTGTCACAGGTGCCTCATTTCAGGGCCCTATTTAACCTTGTACTGCAGAGAGTCCCAGATGGAATTGTTTTCCCCAAGTAAGTGGGTTTATCTCATATCAGCAGACATTAGGCTGCTAGAGTATTTGCCAAAGATGGGGTACATTGACATTGTGGCAGGCTTATGCAATGTTTGATTATATACTGTAAGCAAACCCTTATTATTTTTGCCTTGATTAGGTGTTTTCAAAAAAAAAAAAAAAGGGGAAAAAACTAATAAAATATGTATGCTTCGAAGTTGCTGTTTAGTGGATGACTGAGTGTGCTCGATCTTGTGTATTAGAGATTTATAGACCCGGCCAGCGCGCCCATAAGGCGGCACTGTGGGCGCAAGATTTCAGTGACCGTCAGGAGGGAAGCGCTCCCTCCTGCCAGGCCACCTTCTGGCCCCTCGTCGCAGCAGTGTTCTAATCAGAGGCAGCGAGTGAGCTCTAACCTCTCTACTCTGCTCCCTTGCCCGATGTTAGGTGATGCCGCAGGAGCCAGAAGATGACATCATATTCCGGCTCCCGGCATCAGTAGACAGCCCGCGAAGGAGCAGAGAGCTTAGAGCTCCCTCACCCCATCTGACAGGAACTCTGCTGCCCGCCCCACTGGACCCCAGGGACAGATCCACGCCAGCCCTCCAGGTAGGGAGGCTGGGTGGACATTATTAATAATTTGTGTCTGTGAGTGTGTGTCAGATCTGTGAGTCTGTGTCTGTCAATCAGTGTGTGTCAGATCAGTGAGTCTGTGTCTGTCAATCAGTGTGTGTCTGTCAATGAATGAGTGTGTGTCAGATCAGTGAGTCTGTGTCTGTCAGTGACGTCTGTGTGTTTGTCATTGAGTGTGTGTGGCTGCTAGTGTGCATACACCACTGAGTGTAGCGGAGCGCGGTACAGGAGCTTCTGTTTCCTTTACCCGGCCAGACTGACAGGAGGTGCTCACTGAGAGAGCACTTCCTGTCAGTCCAGCCGGGTACAGAAAACTGAAGCTCCTGTACCGCGCTCCGCTACACTCAGTGGTGTATGCACACTAGCAGCCACAACCCTATAAGAGAGGTAGGAGGCACACCAGGAAGGGGAGTGTGACCACTAAGAGGGTGGGGGGTGCACCAAGGAACAGAGAGGAGAGGGGAGAGAAACGCCAAGGGACGGGGAAAAGAAGGGGGGGAGGGGAGAGGAACACTAATGGACGGGGTGGAGAGAGGGGCTGGTTAAGGGGCACATAGGTGAAGATGTTAATTTTAGGGGGGGGGGAATGCATCTTCGCCTATGTACCCAAAAATCCTTGCACCAGCCCTGTATATAGATGAAGTAGAGGGATGGCCAGCACTCACGGTTTTTCCAAAAGTTAAAAGTTGTAAATTTTAATGTCATTTCATATTAAAAAAGTACCGACGTTTCAGTCCACATTTGGGACTTTCATCAGACATGGGACCATCACATATTACTGAAAATAGACGTGAGAAAACGACACCTACCTCAGAGGTTAAGAATTAGGTAAACCACATATTTGACCTCATTGCTCATCCTGCCTGCTCACAGGAAAGCATGAACACAGACCCAATCAGCCAATTTGGTATTAGACTAGTGAGTGCTAACTCCATAAACCCCCCCCCCCCTGACTCCCCTCCCACTCCATGTTCCCTCCTTTTTTTCCTTTATGTACCCTTTATCCTCCTCCATATTTGTTAACGTTGAGGACTAGACTTCTCATGTTGCAGATAGTACAATCAACCTGGGTAGCAGAGGGTGTTAACAGACGCACTGAACACCGTTATCACTATAAGCAGGATCTGCTACTACTAGTGACAATGTATAGTTCCAACGATATGTATCTGTATCTTGATGATGCTATTCAAAGCCTATTTGTGTTTATGTATCGACTCATTATAAACATGTCTTTACCAATGCTTTTATATTTTGAAACTAAATAAAAACAATTGAGGGGAAAATACAAGGGGGCATAAGTAAACGAAAACCAAAAAAAAAAAAAAGAGTTCCGCTTTAAAGTTTTCATAGTTTTTTATTTGAAAGTTTAGTTATAATTTATAATAATGATTTCATACTTTACATCATCTTTTAATTCAAAAATAAAAACAGGTGGATATAATATAAGATGACAATCATAATTATTAAATAATATTAAATACATAAATGTGTTAATTTTTACATTAAAGGACGCTCCACAGTTTAATGAACAGACTCCGCATACATTTGTAACACTTTTTTTATCTTTTTTTTTTTTTCCCATCGATGGCACTCACTATGTTTTAACATCTACTGTGATATTTCTAAATAGAAACTTGTAAACGTAGTATAGCAGCTAACATTGTACTAACTTTTGGTTATTAATCAACCCTAATCTAAACGGGTTAATCAAACCCTGGTTAACAATTAATTAATTTACATACGAAATGTCCTATGGGGCATACATATTAGCTATTGGTAGTTGAAAATCTTCCCAGTTAATTTTATTTTTTGTTATTTTTATATTGAAAAATATACTTATAAAAAGCCGGGGGATATAACATAGCCCACTTAAAATGTATAAAATTTGGCACTTTAAATACTAGTGTCTGTATAAAATAATAATTTAGTATTCACAAGTAATACAAAGGTTTATAATTATTTAACATTAGTTAAACTGACTTGATAAAATTTGAAATATTCAGGATTTAGACTTAAAATCTAGTATTTCAAAATATATACAATTAGGTAAAACTGAAGTTATTTTATCAAATCTGCTATCTTAATGAATGCATTAAAAGTATTTCTCAGGTCACTATAATTTAATATTTAGCAAAATGCTACTTTGAAAATGCTGCAAAAATAATAAATTAAAATATATGAAGCCAAAATTTGTATATTTCACAAGAACTCAAACTGCACAAAGTAATATACTTTTATGTTGCTTAAAATACTTGATGATTCATTTAAATAGTGTTGAATCTTTTTTAAAAAGTCTTGGTAAAAAAGTTGGGAGCGTTGTTTTGAAAGTTCTGAAACTCATCAGTCCCGGCCACAAGCACAGTTGCTGGGAATGTTCTGGGGCGTTCAGGGTCCTGTATTATAAAGAAAATGTGATGTAATTAACTGCTTCATTTTCATAAATCATTGCATTTTGTATCACATTACATGAATAAATGATAGAAATATATATAGTAGGGTAATGGTAATAACGGAATACTTATTCACACATAATGCATTTAGTAAAGGGTTGTTGGTGGGATTATGCGAATTTCATTAGACTGTGTATTAGTCCACTTCTGTGAAGACTACTATTTTAATTCTCACCTCAACAGGATAAGCAGCAGTGGGAACATAGCGAATCACAAATCCACATCTTCTTCGGTTTGACAAATTGGGTTCGCTGGCATGAACTGTTAACCCATCATGCACCTGGAAATATGAAATCATATTGATTGTGTTAGAAAAAACTCAGATTCCAAAGCCCCCTATGCTAATTTACTTACTGGCATGTAAGTTCTATTATATAAGTATTCTATGTAACATTCTATATGATATCCAGGCAATGCTTTGTTTATCTAAACATTAACCTTGCATTATTTTTGTGTACATTTTATGTAGTTTGTATTCGACAAATAGATCATGTACATTATTTGTTCAGGTTCTTATTGTGGATTTACTTACCGACATTTGTCCAGCTTTAAGAGGACATTCCACCGCGTCTTCCGCATTCACCAGGTGTTTCGGGATTTCCTGATTGGCTGTCAGCATGTTCCCTGGGGTCTCCGCAATTCTGTGCTCTAGAACACCTTGTTTATGGCTCCCTATGGAAAGATACAATGTATCATCAAATACAAAATAATAGCAATTTTGAGTTCTTTTCTTTAAATGCTTGCATACTATTCAAATATTTTATTCCTTATCCATAACTCTGTTAAGGCATTTTATTGTGTATTCTAATTTTATTTAATACCATGACTTTCAAAATCTGCTTTTGTTTTTTTTATTTTTACTGTATTGTCTAATACAACTATTAAATAGATGGATATATAGACAGACAGAATACAGAAATATAGAAATACAGAATAATACATGTATCATGTTTGATAGAATAAGTAAACACTGTACCTGGGATAATTTGAAGGACTCCATTTTCTGCATCCACGTCATCAAATGCCAGCCACACTGAAGCCACTGGACCTCCTTCAAACCCCCAGTATCTGTAGACAGATCACAAATCAAGGTGTGCCATGCTGTAAACCATGCTATAAATGGCTTCCTAATTTTAGTAAATTCATATGAATATTATCTGTCTTTTACTTACTTGATGTCCTGGTGCCAGGCCACGTAGGGCGCTATGTTTTCTTTATGGGGAACGTCAGAGGAAGGATATTTACAGATAAACCTGGAGTCCAGCAGAATGACATTAGGACCCAGGACAGCAGTGATCGCTTGCAGCAGGTTGGGATGGGAAGCCAAATTCATCACCCACTCATGCTCCATGTGGATGTTGTGCAGGTTATACTGAGTGTACTCCTTGCCTGGAAAAGACATGGCAGCTTATTATATGTCTATACATGGATTATCAACAACAAAAATATATTTCACAATTAGTTGTTCGAAATTAAGCACCTTTTAATACACATTGTGAATTCTTTATATTAAAATCCACTAGATTTGTAACTTCCAGGGTCATGTTGTGTATCTTTACATGTATAGCGGCCCAGTATTATTAGAACATTACTTGTACATCAGTTATTAAAGTCATAAGCATGTCACATTTTTATACCAAACATGTAATTTTTTTTTTTTTTTTTTTTTTTCCTGTAAGTCCTTTATATTTTGTATTTCAAGATATTTGATGATATTGGACTCTACATTTACATTCATTCTCTCTGTTTGACGAATGATATATTATTTACTATAACACAAGTAATGTAAGGGTGATGAGAATGCATTAAACAGCATTTCAGGTGCAATAGGAGCTACAACTCCCATCATGCACAACAAAAAAAATCAATGAGAACTTACCAAACGTTTGTTCCAGTTTTCCATACTCTTTGCTGGCCTGTTCCATTTCCTTCTCACCCAGTACATGGATCGCAGTCAGATAGCCATTGGCTTCATACAGTGCTTTCATCTGACTAGCATCAGCCTTCATTGTTCAGTTATATTTGTCAGCTGTACCAAAATTACAAGGATAGTGCAGGGATGGCGTGTACCTGCCTTGTGTTAATAAATGCCTTATATATACAAAGTGGGAAGCAAGATCAACCCTTTTTCTTTTTTAAATTTGTCAGTCGTTTTATTTGTTTACTTAAGAGGCAGAATTACACGTTTGATTTCTGGCCAATTTCCTTCTTGCAACATGCTGTCATGACAAACTTTCCTATTGATGGAAATTCCAGTAGGATATTACATGATAAGGAACAGGAGAATTCCTTTGTACCATGAGCATATATTAACTAACTACACAATAATTCTGATATGGAGATTGAAAAAAGAATACTACACAGAAAGGGATCAATATGAAACCATGCAAAAAAGTAAATAAACATACAAACACACACAAACACATACACACTCACACAAACAGAGGTAAAGTTGATATCATTCTGAAAACCACTTGTTAGAAGGTTTGTGTTCTTAGAAACAAATGTGCATTTGCAGACTTTAGTTTGGAAATATTATCACTAGGATAGAAATGTCCATCCTGGATATCTATTGAAGGCAATCTGTATGTACATTCTTAGACTGGACGTGTACATAGACAGAATGGTTTAGCCAAATGTAGCCTGTCATTGTGTCACTGCTTCACCAGTGCAGGGATTTTGTAAAGTGGTTATGGTGCTTGGATTCTAAATGTGCAACATATTGAGTTTAGCATTTTGCTGCTGGAAGTGTAACTCCACAGTGTCAATAGCTTACCTGGAACGAGATTTCCTGGCTGGCTAATGTTAATTTTGTACGTGAAAGGTACCTGTTGTCAAAGTGCATATCATGCTGTCAACAGACGACCAACGACAAGGCAGCACCCCCCTGTAGCACCCAAGTCATCCTCTAAGCCTATCCTCTGGGTTATCCCTCTCCTTGCAGTGAGGGGGAGTCAAATCACTGTAGGAGTATCGTTCTGCAGAACTTCTCCTCGGAGTGGGATCGCAGATACCTTTTTGCATAATTTAGTTTTCTCTTTTTTTTAAGGGGTGGGTTATGCCAGCAAGGGTTACTTTTAGAACCATGCTATATTTAACAAATATGTATTTGTAAGGCTTGAAAAATATTATCCTGCGACTGGGCACCTCCATCTTAGCTCCCTGTAAATCATTGTTATACACTCTGTCCTTTCCACCTGGCAGTCAGCATAGAGAGAGCATACAGAGAACAGGAGACATGAAACAAAGGTTTCTTTGCCTTGTGTGAACTGGATTGTTATGTAGTTTTTATCAATTTTAAAACATAAATTTACAGAGCACTTTATTAAAAAGTTGAAGATAATCTATCATTATTTTCCAATGTTTTTAATCAATGGTATAAATTCCATAATTCCTGAACTATTCCACTCCAGTTGGAGCTAATTTGGGTCAGTTTTCATAGGTGTAATTTCAGATCTTTTTACTCTCTATTGTGCTAAATAGCTGCAAATAATTTTCATTTGACTTTCTTATTTTAACTTCAGCCTATAGCAAATAACCAAATTTACAAATAGGGCTATGGGAGTTTCAAGAAAAAGTGAATGAACTTCTTTGGGAAGAAATTTCATATACAACAGTAGAATTTTTTTTGAAACATTTAAATGAATTTACTCTTGTTTTAAAAAAAAAAAAACTAAATAAGTGCATAATTAAATATATACGAGTCTGATATATATTTCTGTAGTATTGTGTATTGTTTGCATTTTCTATAATTGCACAGACTATTTTCTTAATACTCCTAATGCCTGAGGAGTGGATAATGATTTTCTTAGCCTTGGAATTCACATTTAGAATTTCCTAGGTCTTTCCTATTAATAATGAAATCGCCGTTATAAATAGAATCATTGCACATCATCTGGTTGTTCTAGTTTTTCAAGTCTACGCGATTGCTGGGAACAATCCCGTGTTGAATACACACGCATATGACATAGAACATATAGTATGTCATTTAGGAAACATAAATAAGAATTCAAATATATCTATTGATTTATCTGCCTGTCCATCCATCCATCTATGCATCCATCTGTTTGTCATTTTATCCATCAATTTCCCATTTTTGACAGTAAAGAAATTGCATGAGTTCAATCACACACACACACACACACACACACACACACCACACACACACACACACATGCAAACACACATACACACAGATACACACACCTTAGATTGTTGATTCAGGGGGCTCGGGCTTGGCAGCGGGGGAAGCTATAGTGCCAGGAAAACAAGTTTGTTTTCTTGGCACTATAGTTTGCCTTTAATGACTAATGCCACTCTGTACTCAACTTATCTAAAACAAAGCGTATGACAAAACAAATATTTTTCACCAAATCTGTCCTTTAAGATTACAGAAATATAACTTAATGGCTTGATGGGTGCTCTTCTTTACAGCTCTGTACTTAAGGGGTGTTTATATGGAAGCCAGTCAAGTAGAATCCCTGAATTTAAGAGGAACATTAGATAGTTCAGGAAATTGAGAAAACTATATAATTATATTTATGAAATGTGTAATATATGCACCAAGGATGTGTAATAAGTGTGCCGGGTGCATGTTTGGTAGACATGTACAATTCGTTTTGGTAAAATTCGGATGAATTTCGGCAATTCGAACATTCAGATGCTTCCGAATGTCCAAATTGGCGAAATGCTGAATTGCCAAAGTGCCAAGCCGAAACCGAATGTCCTACGTCCCGAATTGCCGAAGTTCCAAAGTGCCGAAGTTCCAAAGTGTCGAAGTGCTTTGGATTTCTATAAAGTGGCAAAACAGTAGAGGGAGGGAAAATTAAGGGAATGATGACAGGAATCTTACCCTAACCCTACCCCTAAGCCCACTCCTAACCCTAGCCCTAATCCTTACCCCAACCTTTCTCTAACCCTACCCCTAAACTTACCCCCCTAACTCTGCCCCTACCTCTACTCCTAGCCCTAACCCTACCACTACCCTTACCCCTAACCCGACCCCTAAGCCTACCCTGACGCTACCCCTAACCCCAACCCACACCCTAACCCTATCCCTACTAGGGTTAGGGTTAGCGGTAGGGTTATAGGGTTAAGGGTAGGGTTAGGAAATTGCCAAAGTGTCGACTTCCCGAAGTGCCTAAGTCCCGAATTGCTGAATTCCTGATTTGCCAAAGTCGCGACTTTCAGAAGTGCCAAACCGAAGTGCGGAAGTGTCAGGATTACTGTTTGATCCAGTACGTAGAACTGTATAGCACGGATGACAAATAAGTAACGTATTACCGGTCCTTAGAATGGCCGGATTTAACGTACATAGAATAGTCAAAAATACTAGCCGAGGTCAGGGAACACAGAAAGGTACGCAGCGATGAGGAAAGCCAGGAGTCAGGATACCAGAATATAGAGAAGTCAATAAACAAAGCCAAAGTCAAAAAACAGGTAGAAAACTAATAACAGGAACGCGCTCTCGGACAACCACAAGGGAAACCACGACAGGGCACTGAGCAGGATGAGAACTGGGCCTAAATACCCCTCCTTTAGCTCTGATAGGCTGTAACCAGCCTTTGACCCCAAAGTCAGTTACCAGGTTTCATTTGCACAATTGCTGCTCAGCATTAACCCTTCTGTGGATTAGGTTGCTGCTCGGCACAACTTTTCCTGTGTGGACAGTAAATGTCATTAACCACATTTCTATAAGCGGATGAATACGTGACACGAAGTCCAGAATTTCGCAAGTCCGAACCGTACTGAAGTACCGAAGTGCCACATTGCTGAAGTCCCGAATTGCCGAAGTCCTGAATTTCGGAAGTGCCGAACTGAACCAAACACACTCAATAACAGACACACACACACACACTCACTAACAGACACACACACACACTCACTAACAGACACACATATAGTAACATACTCCCTATCAGACACACTCACTAACAGACACACACACTAACAGACACACACACACTCACTAACAGACACACACATAGTAACACACTCACTAACAGACACACTCACTAACAGACACATACAATCACTACCAGACACACACACACTCACTAACAGATGCACACATAGTAACACACTCCCTAACAGACACACTCACTAACAGAGACATACACACACACACTCATTAACAGAGACACACACACACACACTCACTAACAGACACACACACTAACAGACACACGCACTCACTAAAAGACACACACACTAACACACTCAAAACATTTTTAAAATTCAATCCCACCAGCCTCCCTACCTTTGGGAATGCTGGAGTGGATTATCACTTTCCCTGGGGTCCAGTGGGGCTGCTGTGTGGCCGGACAGGGACTGCAGTCGGCGAGGGAGCACTGATCCTCCTGTTCAGCTCCCTCGCGAGCCGCGTAGTGATGCTGGGGCCGGAATGACATCACTGAGGGAGCTGAACAGGAGGATCAGTGCTCCTTTGCCGAAAGTTCCGCCGCTGCCAGCCTGAGGGACCCTGTGGTGACCATCCGGCCAGCTCCTGGGCCCCCCAGGACAAGAGGCTGGCAAGGCATTTGCCAGAGCAATTGGGGGGGCGGCTTTTTTTGCCGCCTCCCAGAACGTGCCGCCCAAGGCAAATGCCTTGTTTGCCTCGCACTAAACACACCCCTGGTCAACCCTCAACACTCTGGCACTCCCCTCCATACACTCTGGCACCCTCCTGCTCTTTTACACTCACCCTGCCACAATTACCCCTCTACTCACCCTGTCACCCCATGAAGGCAATCATTATACACACTCATAAAACATAGCTTCGCCATAAACTCAGTGCCTAAGGCCAAAGACAGTACACAAACATACACATGCTCAGAGAAACATACATACAGATACAAGGATACTCAGTGCCAGACACACACTCTCAGGCATGTTGGGGATAAAACCAGCCCGGGCCTTTTGTGGATGATGGATATTTGCCAACTCATTCAGAGCTCTGGAAATTGGACAAGGAATAGCAGAGACGTGTTCAATAACCAATTCAAATTTTATTATACGTCAGTTATATTTATACCTCGTTTTCATAGTAGGATGGGAGGG